AATATTATTCAGTAAATGAGAGAAAGGAAAGTTATCCCTTGAAGGCCAACTAGTTAGTAGCTTAGAAGCAATAACTGAACCAGAATAATAATCACTTGATAACTAACACAGTTATAAATAATTCAGGCAAGAAATAGGAATGAGTGCTAAACCAGAGGGTCAATGTGGCATGAAACACGGGATCTTTACACAGCCTCAAAGCAGCTCTCAGCAAAATACTTACTAATTGTAATGGAGAAAAATATAGTGGAGAAACTTAGCAGACGCCATTGTGATTAAGTGATGGTGCGCACCCGACAAGCTACAAGAAGAATATCGCATCACTTCCTTGATAATCCTGTCGAAGCAGATAACCAGGATCCAATCATGATAAAGCATCAGGCGATCCCAAGTTGAGCTCTGTTAGTGCAGATCTTCACATCTGCTTCAATCTACTGTAATCTTTAGCAATGTCAAGGAAAGACTGAGAACCTCTTCCACAGTGAGAGAGACCAGAGAGATGTAACAGCTGGGTGCAGTGCCTGATTTTTTTTGCTATAAACAATGTCATTGAGGCAACTGACACAACTTGAATGGGGTCTCTGGGTGAAGGGTATTAAGGAATTCTTGGTACGATGAGTGCAACTTTTCTGTAATTTTGAAATTGTTTAGCATAAAAAAGAACACCATTAAGAGAATGAAAGGCAACAAAATCCTGTTGGAAGGGACCTTAGGCAGGGAAAGACTGAAAAAGAGTTCCAAAGTAGAGATAGTTGAGAGGGCGATGTGTCTGATAAGGTCCGGGAGGATGCTGTCGCCACACTAGTGGGCAGCTTCACCAGGGGATGACGGCTCTGTTTTTGTTGTCATAGGGATGAAAAATAAAATAACATATATAGAGGAAAATAAGGAGTTTGAGGATGGAGGTTCTTTTGAAGATTTCTGGGACCACCTAAGGTCTTTTTTCTTTCGGTGGGAACTGTGAACTTTCTTTCTGTGCAATTTCAAGAGGAAAAATGAACCTGAGAAAGAAAGATTAGGGAATTCTGGTCAGACAACTCTTTTCTCTCCTGAGAGCTAGGATGTAATGTTGTCATGAGGATAATGGGGGACAAGTCAGGAGTTGGAGGAAAATGAGGACTTGTGGTAAGATAGCCACGGCAGAGAAGGGGCTGGAGGGGCTAAGATGACGTGACAGGATTGTGGGGCAGCACTGAGGGACCAGTGGAGGTTAATACTGTGAACCTCTTTATCTGAGAGTCCGAATACCCTCACTTTGAAGGAACTGTTAATTTCTAATTGTGACACTTTGGGCTGGTTTAGCGGTGTTTTGCAAGCTGTTACAGGTGTGTGGTAGGTTTGACATTGTTTTCTGAGCCTTCTGCCTACCCTGCTTGTACACATGCTAAATAAATCCCTCATATATGAGCAATACTTTAAAGTCTGAGGTGAATCTTGGGTCCGAAACTAGGTTGTCTTTCTCTGCTGTGGTTTTTGAAATGACCTTCTTATTTCTAAAATGTTATGGGGACAAGAATTCTATATCATATAGGAGTCTTAAGGTACTACTTTATTTTGCATCTCAAAACCTTACTATAACATTTTGATCAGTTCTGTGTTTTGCTCATTAGAAGGTTCAGAAGAGAGCTGTGAAGGTGATTAAAGGAAGAAAGGATAAAGGAATAAGATAATTTACCTCCAAGGAGAGCCGATCCTTTAATTTGTTATTTATGGTATTCTTTTCGTTCAGGTGTAGTAAGGTAGATGCAGGAGGACTTGAGCTTAAAGTGGAGCACGTGAGAGTGAGCTTACTCATGGGAGAGGCTGTGTGATAGTCAAGGTTGTGTAACAGTGGATAACTGAGGAACAACTCAGAATTCCCATGCAGTGGGAACTTCAGTGTTTATGTCCATTTGTTCATTTGACTGCGATCGTAGAGGCTGGATCGAATGATCTCTTGTGCCTCCCTATAATTTCATGATTGCGCTGAAGAGGAAACCAGAATGATGTAAAAATTTGAGCTCTTTTGCAAGTTTCAGGAAAGCTTTTGCAAGCTTTTGAAATGTAGATTTAAAAGTATAGATTCTTGCCAAATTTGGTAAGACAGATGACACCTAATTCACCTTTGTTTCCATCCAGGGTGGTTCTTCCAGAGAATTCAGTTTCTTTCCAGTCCTGAGTTTCGTAATGTTTTCAGACTTGTCAATGTTTCAGCAAGCAAGAAATCTGACTGCTACTTTCCATCATTATTTGTTTCCTGGCAGGAGTCTCTTAGTCTGATGCCTTTTTAGCCCTTATTTGGTGGAAATGTGTCAAACTGGGATTTCTTTTTGTTTTATACTTATTGTGGAGTATAACACACAAGAGAAAAAAAGAATGTAAGTGAAACGCTTAATGAATGATCAGAAAATGAACACTTGTGTAACTGTCATCCCAATCAAGAAACAAGAGCATCGCTAGCACCTCAGAAGTTCCCCACTCTTTGTGAGCCTCCCCAGTCACTACCTCTCTGTCCTTTCCCAAATCTGTTACCTTGACTTCTAACACAAAAGTTTGTTTTTGCCTGTTTTTAAACTTTATATACATGGAACCACATAGTTTGTATTCTCTTGTGTCTGGCTAATTGGATTCAATATTATATTTGTGACATTTAGATATGTAGTGTGTAGCTGTAGTTTGTTTACTTACACTGCTGGATAATATTTCATTGTATTAGACATTCCGCTGTTGAAATTTGGGTCATTTCCGGTTTGGGCTCTTCTGGGTAATACTGCTGTGAACATTAGCGTATGACTCTCAGGGTGCATATGCCCCCAACAGCATTCCTGCTGGAAGTGGAATTGCCGGGTCCTAGGCTATGCACGGGTTCAGCCTTTGTAGAGAATGCTACGCTGTTTTCCGAAGTGTTTGTGTTTCACCTTTACTCCACGTGTTCACATGCTTGCTAACACTCAGTATTGTGTCAGAGGGGACTTTATTCCCTCATTACCTGCCCCTCCTTATCTCATCTTTATTGTGCATGTACCCTGATGGTTTCATTGTTATCCTGGGCTCGCTTCATGCAAAACTATTCCTATTTGTAAAATGTCTCATTGAAATGCATATTGCTAGGTTTTATAGCTTTCTTGCCTCTCTTCCACTGACATTGGACATTTGCATTTTAAGTTTTTGTTTACTGGATATGTCACAAGACAGCAGCAGAGTTGACTCAGACGGAAGGCCTTGAGGAAGTTACAAATTTTGGTTGCAGCCCATGCAGCAGAGATGTACTGGGTCATTAAAAAAATTCAAGTGCTGTAGGGAAGGGAAAGTGCAGACTACATTTCTTTTGAACAGGGAAGAATATCCTGACGGAATTTTTAAAAAATTGTTGTTGAAAGGAGTAACTTTGTAGTAAGAGTTTAAGTGTGAAGGGAGGTAATATGAGGCAAAATTAACATGTACTTTAAAAATAAATTTAAAAATAAAGATACGTGTTGGGGTATTATATAGTCTGTCAAGCAAGTTATTTCAAGAAGGACCTTAGAATGTACGTCTGGGAGAGTAAGCTTTATCAGTTTAGAAAACCCAACTTGATTTTTTAACAAAAAAGGAAGTTCTGTGTATAAATGGTGTGAGAGAAACTGCTATAGGTAAATGGAAAGAAAATCTTCCCAGTGACTGTTTTTGCCCTTTTCTGCCCAGTTTAATGGAATATTTTTATCCCACGAATTGATGGTATTGAATTGTCGAGGTAATGTGTGTTAAAGGCATAATAAATATTTTGGAATGATAATTATGGTTTTCCCTTCTGGAAAAATAGGAAATCACTTAGTTGATATTTCTCTTTAGCATAATTTATTTTGTAAGACTCTCCCAAGTGTTCCCTATATAAGGTAAATCTTTTTGTTAAAAGCAACAGAAGGTCGTTTCTGTCTATATTTGACCTGGCATCTAGATTCTCCGATTAAATTATTGTAGGGAAAGAGAAAATGTAACGAAATGTATTCCACAATTAGAAATTGTGTTGCACAGTTCCGAAGCCAGAGGAGGTGAAAGATTGCCCGTAGCTGTTACAATTAGAAAAATAATGGAGATTTTTTTTCTTGAATTTCACTTTGTTCTTTCATTTTTTTTATTGACGTACAGTCAGTTTACAATGTTGTGTCAATTTCTGCTGTACAGCATAATACTTCAGTCATACATAGACATACATTTATTTATTTTCATATTCTTTTTCTTTATAGATTACCACAAGATATTGCT